GCCCCAAAAGCAGCCGAGGGGTGACCTTCTGCCTCCGGTCCTCCTGCTGCCGTGTCTCTGTGCTTTCTAATGCTCCGGCTGCGATCGGGGTTTTAGATTCTTTCATGCAGTTTTCATCTTTCCTTTATTATTATTATTATTATTTTTTTTTTAACATTTTGTTTTTCTTCCCCTTAATGGCAAGACAGCAGCAGTTTGCTGTCATGCTGGGACTGTCTAACTTGTGCTCTCTCCTGAGTTTAGATCACCCTCAACACCCCTAGGATCTTTTCAATGAAAAACCGTCCTCCTCAGAATCCAAAATGGGCTCTCTCTTCCCTCCCTGTCTTCTGCCATTATCCTCACGCACCAGCTCTTCCTCTAGCTAGTGGTATTGCCAGCACCGTGGCCTAAGGCCAAGGGAGTTAGACAAAGCAGTCCTTGCAGTTGCACATATCGCATTCAGAGTGATATGACTGCAAATGGCCCCCTCCTCGCTGGAGCTTAATTCTGAGTTGAAGGAGGTTGCTTCTCTATTGTGTCTAAATTAAATGCCACTGGCCAAGAGGAAAAATCCGAGGTTTGCTTCCAAACCTGGGGTGAAGGAACCCCACCCCCACCCCCCCGTCCTGCAGAGGAGAGGAAAACAGGAAATCTGTCCTTTTTGGCCTGAGATCAGCCCTGCAGAAGCCTCTCTGTGTGAATGCTGAATATTTTGGTCTCAGCTGACAGAAGGGCTCTGGCCAGCTGTGGATCTCACAGGGATTTTCCTCTGGGAGATAATGCTGCTTCTCTGCACTGCAGGGCTTCTGGTGCAGGAGAGTTTGGAAAGGCAGTGTGGCAGCTCCGCTCCTGAAGCAAGCTGTGTCCTTGCTGCAGAGCTAACTCCTTTCAAGTTTAGGCTGAGAGTGGCCACTCTGCAAAATCATGTTTAAACCGCCCTCAGTGAGTGGCTTGGTGGGATGAAGCAGTTGTGGTTGATGGGTGACGATGCTGCGTTCTTGCATGGGCGCATGCTTGGGACTCAAAGGGCCTGGCCCGAACTCCTGAGAAAGGAGGGCTGCCTTAGGGGAGGAAGTAAGTAATAGCCTCTGTGGGACTGTCAGCAGATCTGGGGATGACTGTGGGTGAGGAAAATGCAGCTACTCTGCAAGTGACTCAGGATGCTGGAGGCACCCGGGTGCTGACTGCTCTGCCTTGCACCGATCTGAAAGAAGAAGAACATGTTGTCACAGCAGAATTTGGTGCCTGTGCCTCTTCCCCCTTGCCAAGGTCAGTGGGGATACCCAGCACAGAGTGAGACCTGCAGGGTTTTGTCCGAATTGTCCATAGCCTCCCTGAGGGGCCTCCGCTCTGGGAACTGGGCCTGAGTGCAGCCTCTGGGGTGGTCATTTCTAACCTGGCTGTGCTTAGGGAGCCCTGTTAAATCTCCTGCACGAGCATCTTCCCTGCATGGGAGCTGAAAAGGAGCTCTCTTAGGGAATGGCGATGCTGCCTGTGCCCTCCCGGCCTCACCAGATCCTGCCATGTCCCGGAGAAACCAGTGTTCCCCGTTCTAACAGCTACATTTTGATCTATTTTTCCTTATCTCATTTATTGTACTGAATCCTACAAAGTATTGTTTCTTCCTCAACGGCCTTGTGTTTTGTTTTGTTTTGTTTCTTTTTAACGCTGTTCCTCTGTAAGAGGGCCAGTCACGGAGCTGAGGTAAAGGACAGCATCTCCATTGACTTCAGTGGGACTAGAGAGACTTACACCAGCTACACAGCTGGCCTGTAGTTTCTTTCCCCCAGTTTTTAGGCACATTCTGGCTCTGTTGTGGATATTCACCAGCATTCCTATTTTGTTCAGAGCGCACACAGGATCTGAGAATAAAAGTTTTAAGATATGGATGCTAACATAAAGAGCTTGGCGGTTTTACTTTAGTTTTATTCTGATTGCCACAGACATGGCAGCTTTTAAGACAAACCCTGCTCCTGTAATAAAGTTCTAAATCTTTTGTATATAGGATCTGGAGAAACAAATTTCAGCAGACTGTGACAAGGGAAGGAACTGCATCGTGGCTCCACATGAACAAGTGGTGATCCGTACAACAGCTACTACTGTTGCTGAGGACCAGTAGGACTGTCAGTGCACCTGCCACGTTTTGCAGAGACTAGGATTTTCTCAGTGAAAAGAACAAGTTTTTGCTGAGAGGTGAACTGGAGAGAATTTTACTAACTGAGTCTGTAGCTTGTAAGTGGAGAGACCAATTTTCCCTCAGTCCTGGGAGATGATAGCCAGCACACTAGGCCATTCCTTACCTTATGTTACTAAGAAGGCAGTGCAGACTTGCATGAGCAAATGGCTTCCCTGTTGCCCTCTACTGAGACAGCATGTTTGATATTGTTGTCTGTACTGAGGGGTTGTTTTTTGGAGCGGGAGTAGTGATGAGAATACTGTTTCAAGGCAGTGTGGAGAGCAAGGTGTTCATACATTAGCAGAGGGGGTAACTTCCAAGCAATACAGCTCATGCTTTCTCTCTTTCCTTTTTTTTCCCTACAGTGTAGACATAAATTTTACTTTGTGGGTTCTTCTTTTGATCTCTTTGGATTTGTTTAAACACTTCACACAGGTGGTCTTATCACTGTCATCCGATATGACATGTAATACAGTGCTGATTCCCTGCTTACTTGAAGTCCGTGTCAAGTTAAAAATGATTTGAAAAGAAACATTCTAAGCATTTGAAAATAGTAAATTCTGAAGCATGAACTTGTTTGGCCATTTAGAAAATTGGCCTTTTTGGCTGTGTCCATACCACAGCTGTTCACTGTGGTGTAGTTTTCATGATCAGCAAATCCCTTCATCGTCCCCATCCACCATGTGCTGGTTCAATTGCAGAGTAGTTTTGGTTCATGTTAACTTGATTCCTTTTGGATAAAACTAAACCAGAAGCTCTGCTCCAGCTGTACAGCACTGATGCTCCAACTTTTAATGGGAACATAAGGGTCTGAACTGAAGATTGGACGCATTTGAACCACATCAGTGATGGGGGCACTCAGTCCAGGGGCCACGCTAACTCTAGTCTGAAGCCACACCTATCACCCCAACTACACGTGGTATAGATATACCAAATACTTTGATCTTCTGATCCATTCTGGTTGTGCCAAATAACTTACTAATGTAGAAACAACCTGTGTCATAAGCTGGAAAAGAAGAATGGTGCAGAATCCAGAAACTGTCTTTTGCTTTTCTGATTAAAAAAAAAAAAAGGCAGAGAAGGAAGGAAGAGGAGACATAAAACATGACTGTTATCCATGTGGAAAGATTAAATGGAACAACAGTACTAGAAGAAAGGCCCAGAGTACTAAAGATCAAAAGAGCAAGGCCCCTGGCTGTTACGATACAGAATACCCTAGTTCTTGAGAATGTGTGTGTGTGCGCATGCGCGTGTGCACGCACACTTTTTTTTTTTTTTAGGGGGGGAAGGAAATAGTTTTATTCAAAGAAAGGTCTGTTTCTACCATAAGGGCTGTTCTACCATAAGGGGGAAAATAAAGCTGGGTGAAAGTATAACTTTCACAGCCAGTGCTATAAGGAATGTTTTGTGCAAATGAGACCTAGGTCCATTATTTTAAACTGAAGTTTGTTGGAAGACTGGGGAGAATTGGGCTGTCAGTGTTTTAGCTCTGGGTTGGCAGCTTTTGTACAGTTCAGCGTGTTGCTTGGCTGTGCAGTGGATCTGCTTGTGCAGACGTGTGGAGTGTCCCCCGGATAGCAGGGAGTTCTTGCTGAAATTAAGCCAAAGTGTGAAGAAGGCTAAGGAATCAAATATTCTCATAATGAGCCAGACTACTACGCCTATGATTCAGGCTGTGCTCAAATACTCACCACAGAAATTGCTGTGCTAGTTTAAGATGTTACCTCCTCCTTTGCTGGAGGATACTTACCCCGCAGTGTAGCCAGCAGAGCAGCTCACATGAATGTTTCTCATGTGTTCATTGCAAAAGTTGTCCAGTTTAGGACAGAAGAAATTACATCCTCCCAGTTAAAATATTCCAGCCTGGTTGTCTCATACTGCATGCTGTCAGGAATCAAACGGCAGTCATCCGAAGCAGATGAGGAACGTTTTCAAGTTGTGTGGTAGAGGCAGTAACCTCCAGCACACAGGGCTCTGTATAAAGAGCTAATGCGTGCTACCCATCAAAATGGGAACAGCCTTCCTGTTGCAAACAACTTCAGCTTGAAGTGAGTGTAAAGTAGAGGGAGAAGCAGTGAAATTCCACAGACTATGCCATGCACCTCAAATAAAATCCTGGCTACAGGGATCTCGCCTTATGTACAGTCATGTTCATGTGTACAAAGGGTTCATAAAATGCCAGGAATTTACATACACAAGTTGTGTAGCATCTTACAAAGTACAGGGTAGGAGAGAAACATATATCTAGTGGGGCTGGTTCTTTACTCATCTAAGTTCTGCATGTGTAACTCAGTGAGCTGAGTAACTATTACTGCTTTTATTTTGCTGCTTGTGAGAGTAAAATGGGGTGAAAATTGAGCCGCATGGACGTCATGGCATCCACTTGGAGTGGATCAGGTAAGAATACCCCAGCGTTCCTGCTCCCACTGCTTCCTTGTGTGGTGCACAGGGCTCTAGTGAGCTGCCTTTCCAGTTACTTTTCCAGCAGGCAATGGCAACGGATTCAGGAATTAAAACCCAGACCAGCAAATTGGTATCGCTGCTCAGGCTTTGAGACAGTAGAGGAGGTTTGTACAGATCCATTCAGCTCCTATCAGAAATTAATGGGAAGATTTGTGGTCAGTGTGAGTTTAGGCATATAAAGCTTGATTCTAGTTCCTTTGTCTGCCAGCGCGTTAATTGGGGCTCAGGGAGACCACTGGAAGGAGGAGGTTTTGATGTAAAAATCTCATTTATTTTTATTGTATTGCTAGATCCCCAAGATTAATAAAGCATAATATTCTTTAAAAATCACTGTATTTCCCCCTCCTGTGTAGGGGAAAATGCTTTTGAGAGTCTTCTGCCTGCATACAGAATTAAGGATATTGTTGGCACAGGAATAAATGTGTTAATAAAAGGCTTTGTATACATTTAATTGGGAAAGTGGAGGGAGGAAGGTGTGTATGTTAATCTAGGTTTTAAATAACAGCAAGCACTACGACCAAATTGGGATGTAATACAGAGTCTCACTTAAGTTCAGTACCAAACACATTCCCTTTTCGATTCTGTCGATTCTTAACTGTCTTGTCTCCATTGTTATTTTAACAAGAGAAAGCAAGCCTCAATTTAGATCCCCCCACCTTTTTTTTTCTTTCTACTGAATACCTAGTCATCAAACTGATTTTCTGACTGGGTCTCAACTGCGAGACTTGCTGGCCTAATTTTTCTTAGTAACTATAATAGCAACGGCTGGTGTTCCCTTTTTTTTTTTTTTCCTCTTCCCCTACTCTCTCCTTTCTTTTAAATCTGAGATGTACAGGATGTGCAGACATGCAGATGTAATTTTGGGTTAATTGAGTAATAGTCATCCAAGACCCACGTGAGATTAATGTACAAAGTGACAGGTCAAAAAGCTCAAGGTCCATGACCCTCTGAGATACTAATATCCCCACAATTAATTTCATTTTCAGGATTGCATCATCTTAAATTGAGGTGAAATCAAGGATTTTTCATTTTTGTCTACCTCCAGCTGAGTTTGACTGGCACAACTTCTGACACGGGTGTGTGGAGGCTGGTACCATGGCCAAGTCAAATCCTTTTCTTTGTTCTCTGGGCCTGCTGCTGCTGATAAAGTGGTCGGCGCATGGCATTATGTCTTATTACATTTTTGATGCAGACTGCAAAGAAACGGGTAAACTCACCATGGTTACCACGATCTGTCATTTGGCAGGGCATTCCGCACTCAGCAATGGCCTCTAGTGTCTGCATCACAGCTCTGCATATATTGTGGGTAAAGTAGACAATGCAGCACCCCTGGCTGCTGAAGCGACAAAAGTCTATTGATCTGATTGCTAATTTAAATCAGTAGCGGTGCAAAAACTCCAGCAGCGGGCCCTCTTGGGTAGTTGTCCACTGAAAGTTCTTCTTGTTTGTTTTTATCATTCAGTGTTAATTCAGTCACTGCTGGGATCCAGCTCCCATGCTGAGACCAACTAGTGTCCACTGCAGTGCCTTGCGCTGGCTTTCACATCTGTGAAACTTTCTCGGTCAGCCGCTAGATTCACTGCTGTATCTTGCCACATCACATGTCTGTGAATTTTTGTTCTTATCTAGACTGCATTCCTTGCCTTATCTTCATAAACCAAGAATGTGTCGTTGTTTAAATCAACATAATCTGCAACAATCAATAAAGTATCTGCGCTGTATGATCATTGACTGATACAGTGGTAGTGAATGATCTTGTTTTCTCTTTTGCACGAACTGCAGCTAAGGTTTGTTCAGTGGGTAAAGCAGGGTTCCTGTGCCTGGTCGTCTGAGTCCTTGCCTTGATTCTGAAGGAGTTTGGAGCTCCCAGGTCTTGTATTATGACGGACTGCTTGTAGTAACAGTTTAGGAACAAGTCTTTACAGGATGGGTCTTTTGTTTTATTGTACATGAAGAGAAATTGCTTAAGTCTTTTTCTGCTTAATTGAGGTAATTAAACCTTCCTACCTTGCAGTGCAAGGGACTCATTAATGTTTTTAAAGCATTTTGAAATCCTTGGAGGAAGATGTAGTTTGCTGTTGTGTCATGTTTGATAACTGCTGAAATTCAATCATCTAGACTTGAGATATTGACTGAGCTGTACGTACAGAAATCTTGCATTTGTTCACATATTTTGAGCTGATAACGTAATGAACTAATTGAGAAATTGAGAACGTAGCTGACAGCTCTGGTGTTCCTTCACAGCACAGGAGCTGTGCTCTACGGGTGTGTTTTGTTTTGTTTTGTTTTTTAATGTGCTTTAGCAAAGTGTGATAATTAGTTCCATGAGTAATGGAAATGCAGATTGTAGCACCATAAAATTTAGCAGGTTAATTAAAGACAAAAGAGAAACTTTGCTTATTTAAGGAGTCCTACTGATCATCCCATTTTACCATCACTAGGTTTTCACTAGTTAACTAGTTAAAATTAAGAACACGCTCTCTTCTTGTAGTGAAGATGACACCATGGTGATATCCTGTGATTAATCCTAAAGTGGAAAGAGATTTCCCAACTGAAGAGGACAGGGAATCTCTGTCCCACTGTGTTTATCAGTGCTTTTATGGTGTAACCACTAGCTTTTTGTTTCTCTCTTTTTGTCACGAGGGAAAATCGGAATGAAATCACTTGCAACTTTAAAACGAAAACAGCTTTGAGTCCCAGTGACTTTTAGCATCAATTTAATTTAATTTCAAATAAAGTCTGGTAAATAAGAACTCTTCCTCGTGTGGGAAGACAGTTGGGAATTTCAGCAAAGGAGTTTGAAAGGGGGAAGATTTTTCAGACAGCAGTCTGAAATCTGTGTCTGCTGCCTGCAGGCAAAGACAGCAGCAACAGTGGACGCAGGAGCACTTCTACTGCAAGAGCAGAAAAGAGCCGCTAAGTCTAGCGGGGTAATGCTCCCTTAGTCCTGAGTGTACAGTCCATAAACAGCAGGTCTTGCAACACTGTTGTAAAATGGGCAGCATAATCAGGCCCTCTCAGAAAAAAAAAACAAAAAAACTGTTTTGATGTTTCTCAACCCCAATTTCCTATGTTGGAAAATTGGGGGGGGAAAAGCGTTTTGATTCCTCAATTTTGGAGCAGTTTTTCAGTAGATCACATTAGAGTCTGTTTCTATAACTTTCAGTTAACTTGATGCCCTGTTGATCTGAATATAATCTGAATATGATCTTTTATAACGTTAGAACATGTAACCATAGCCCAAAGTGATGTTGTTTTTCCTTTAGTTTACTTTTGCAGTACGGTCTGACTGGCTAAAAATGTTTGACATCACAGAAAGAGGAATAATGGTAGCAGCTCTTCAACTCTGATGTTTTACAATGAGCAGCAGATCTGATGTACCTCATCTGACTGTCCCCTATGAATAGTTTTGGCATCAGCTGGAAATAGTATTGAGGGTAACTTGCATTGACCATGTGATGACACTTTAAGTTGCAAAATTGCTTTCAGATAACTTGCACTGAAAAGGTAAAAATAGCACAGTACATTAGACTCATCTATGAGGAATGTATATATGCAAAAATAGGGCTCCTTAATATTTACAGTTTGTCTAGGCAGAACAACCTGTCATGTTACACTCTGTTTCACTTTTAGGCAAACAATTTGCACTGATAATGTTGCAGGCTGTGCTATTTTCAAATGTAAAGCAAACATTAGAGAAGTGTTAATTTAACTGTTCTCTTCCTACAAAGTGCGACTCTGAAACGGTATTAGTGTGCTTAGAAAGAGGTGAGAGGTCATGGCTTTAGAAAAGAAAAAAGCTATCTAGAATGTGTCCCAGTGTAACTGACTAATCCATCTCTAGATAATAACTGATTTTTTTTTTTTCCTTTTCTCTTTACAGCTGGGAGTGTGCATTCCCCCTCCACAAGTATGGCAACATCTGCACAATACAGACAGCTTATAAATGACTATGGACCCCCATCCCTAGGCTATACACAAGGGATGCAGGTATAGTTCAGCTAGTTGTTTTTCTTTAATCAGATCACTGACCCTAGGTTTGCACAGTAGTATGAATTGTGCCCTGTAATCTGAGGTGTTCCCCCCTCCCACCTAGCTTTGAAATCAAACCCAAATGGCAGACTGATTCATCGCACATGTCTTGGGATCAAATTAGACTAAGCAGAGTGCTGAGTGAGATTAGTTACTAATTAACTGTTAGTCCCTTCCCTTCTGACTAATAGTGAACCATGTCTTGAGTTATGTTCTGATAATAAGGGCTGTAACATATTTTTAGATTATTTGTTAAAAAGTAATATCCTTACATCTTTAACTGTTCTCCTTGGGTAAATTTATACTTTAAAATTTACAGTCTCATGAAATGTGTGTTACAGAGATTCTTATGGGCTGCTTTCAGGAATCTAGCCGGTAAACTTTCTGTGAACCGTTTTTAACATCGTAACAGGATTCTCTTGTCATATGGGTAGCTTTCTTTTATCTGCTCCTCACTCTCTCCACCTACCCAACTCTCCCACAAAATATATACCTAAACATTATGAGAATCACAGAATGGTTGAGGTTGGAAGGGACCTTTGGAGATCATCTTGTCCAACCCCCCTGCTCAAGCAGGGTCACCTAGAGCAGCTTGCCTAGGACTCTGTCAAGACGGCTTTTGAATATCTCCGAGGATGGAGACTCCACAACCTCTCTGGGCAACTTGTTCCAGTGCTGAGTCAGCCTCACAGTAGAAAAGTTTTCCTTATGTTCAGATGGGAATTCCTGTATTTCAGTTTGTGCCCGTTCCACATTGATAAAAGCAGGAGAGTTAGATAAGTAGTTCTCAGATTGCTGTTTTTTCAGGACTGATTTAACTTCTGTTTCACTTAAGGTCCCAATCTTGCAGCCACATTCTCCCAGCTGATCCCTGTTTTCCAAGGGTGCATAGCATTGTGTCCAACTGTAGGAGCAAATGCAACAAGAAAATCATGTTTATATGATAAATTTGAAATTTTATTTTTTAATATAAAAGTGTCTTCCAGGGCAGTTTCTGGTACTTCATGAAATTCAGGTTGCTGTTTGTTTCAGTTGTTTTGTTTTTAGCAATATTTAATTGAGATTACTGTACTTCCAACTACAGGGTACCAGCAGCAGTCAAGTACCACAGAGCAAATATGCAGAACTTCTAGCTATCATAGAAGAATTAGGAAAAGAGATTAGACCCACATATGCTGGGAGTAAAAGTGCGATGGAGAGGCTAAAACGAGGTAATGTCTACAATTATTTTTTAAAAAGTGTCCCATGCTCTTTTTGCATAAACTGCTTATTTACTGTTTCATGACAACTGTTTCCTTTAAAAGGAGACAGCTGTCTTGAGCCGGTTATTAAGCTAGGCGTATTAACAAGCAACTGAATCTCTGGGATACTCTACTCGTGCTGTGTTTGATAGCTAAACCAATGAATTAATGTATTTCATGTGCACAAAGGGAGTTTCAGTTAATAATTCAAACCTTATTTGGATCCCCTTACGGTGTCTGTCGGACACATTCTGTCAGGCTCCTGGTGACTGACTTACCCCTTCAGTTCCCTCTTCTGCTCAGACTCTAAAATATACAGCCAAGCATTGTTTACTTCCTCTCGTAAACATCACCCTTCTACTTGACCCAAGAGTCTCTACTGAAGTGTATTTTGCTTAAAGAAATTTTAGGTTGTGCTAAATCACACTAAGGCCGGTGGTGAGAAGAGCTGGGGAAAAAAAAAAAAAAGAGATGTAGTCAGTGAAAGCTGTACAGAGACTGAGACTTCAAGCGTACGTATTCCTCCTCTCTCTGGAGTGTCCAGCTGCTTAGGCTCCGTTACCTGTTGTCAAGTGGACATTGTTAGGAGTCCACTAATCAGGGTCTAACAGTGTGTTAGGCCTAGCTGATGAGGCCTCTTTAGCTTTGCTTAGTCAGCTAAAAGGGGTCACGTAATTGCCCTTTCCTTGCAGTGTAAAAGAAACCCCCACATACTCTACTGCTGACATCAGCTTGACATTGTCCTCCGCAGGGGACATGTGAGGGATATTTCTGAAGGAGCAGTGGGACATTCCATCGCTCTAGCTCCTGAAATGACCCTGAAAGGCCATCGACAACAGTTGTGCTGGCTGTTCTGTCCTCTGCCAACATGACATAGTTACCTTTTCTTCCCTTTCCTTGGTCCTTGTGCTGAGTTTGGCTCATGCATTCAACCCTGAATGGGAATCTTACTGCAACAGACTAACTTCACCACCTTGCGAATCCTCTTTACATCTACCCAAGACTACAGCGCTGTGTTTAAGGCTCAGCCATTATGGGAGAGTAATATATCTGCCATGATGTGCAATAAAATGACTAGTAGCTGTTCTGGGAAAGGATGCAATAAAGTCTGCTGATGAGTGGTAAGTGGAATCTGGCCCAGCTAAAATCAATGTTGCTGGAGTCTCTCTTTATTGCATCGCCTGAGTCAGTATTAATAGATCATGAATGGCAATAGGCTAATGGGGACAGCCTGAGAGACACTGCGAGAGAGGCAGACTGTTCTCTTTGCTGAACAGTTCAGTTCGGTGAGGGACAGTTGTTTTGCTATTCCTTGCAGTATTTAGTTTGTTTGCTAATGTGGTTTAAGATTCAATGCTGCAACTGTGACTGGCATGCAAATGTTGCAAAAAATTCAAACTAAATACCTTTTGCTGCCATCTTTTGGTCACAGACATATCCCTCTATCCATTTTGGGAGCCTTATGGCTGAAGGAGCATATGCAAGTGTGAGAGAAGGACTGACTGAGGGTACCCATGTGCCTGCAGCCTCCGTAGCTGTGTGAAGGTTCTTCCCGAATAAAGTCTCTGTCCCCAGCTCCACTTGCTCCTAAGGACAGAGGCTACTCACCTCTAAAACTGGCCAAATTCCCAGTGTTCTCCATAATTCAGGGTAGCTTGCTGCATAACCTGGGCATCCTGCCACCAAATCCAGGTCTAATGTGCTGCTTTGAGTATGCATCTCTGCATCCCATAACTGCAGGCTTTACCTGCTGTGTCAATTTAACCCTCTGCAAAGCCTTGGACCAATAGAGTGCCAGGTCACTGCTCCTTGGGTGTAAAGGCTGTTGCTCTGATTTGGGCTAGCCGCCTTCTAGAGACAGAATCCGTTATCTCTAAATAGAGATTAACGTTGCTCTGTTGCCTTACTCTGATTTCTGAGAATTATCCCAAGGTACTCATTTAGGCTTTTAGAGCTTGCTAAAGTGACTCCCCAAATTACTTAATGTCTTCTTTTGCCCCACTGTAGCAAAATAACTGACAGGTAGGCAAGATGATTTTTTTTCTCTGGTTAAACCTCTGATTTAAAATAGGCCTGCACTGCTGCACTTTAAGATGTACCTGTCACTGCAGACCTACAAAGCTTATAACGCTCTGGTTCCTGGTTTGATCCCTTTTCAATTTATAATGACAGTTTGGCAAAGTAAACTTTTTTAGCAGAGGTTACTGTTTGGGAAGGATGTGTCAGGGGAAAAGTCTCCTTTTTCTGAAGTATGCTGTGATAGCTTTGGTAACACAGAACAGAAATACATAAACGTTTCTGTGAATTGCCATTGCAAGAGTCACCTGAATGAGATGATTTAAAAAATGTCCAATTCTTTTGCAGGCATTATTCATGCTAGAGGACTAGTTCGGGAATGCTTGGCTGAGACTGAACGAAACGCAAGATCCTAGCCCACTAATTCAGTGACAAGATTTTCCATCTCTCAATGAAGAAAAAGTAATACTTATTCCTTTGACTCTTGAAACATTCAGATGAATTCCTTTATTTTGAATGTTTTACCTTTCTGTTTTTGCCCTTACAAAAGTGTATAGTTAAGAATGAGAAAACAAGGATTTTTCAACTTACTGAGGGTTTGCATTTTGTAAAGACATTAAAACTCCCCAAAATGTTTCTAAAACATGACAATTGAATTGCATGCAGAGGAATGCTCTCTCTCACCCAGGCTCTATTTCAGTTCTCTTCTTATCCAGCCACAGTCTCGTTCTGTTTTTCTTTTGACTATATTCACTTAACCCCAAACTGTCAATCTTTCAAAGTTTGACATAAACTCTAAGGATTTTTTTAATAAATGCAGAATAGCATGCTGTACCTAGTAGTCTGCTATGTCACAATTTGTCATACAGCATAGACCCTGCTTAGAAATAACCTCCCCCTCCTCTTACTTTTCCTTTTTTGTTTGTTTTGCATAAACATTTGCATGACTGTTAGTGCTTTGAAGTCCATTTAAAGTGCATGAGTTATACGGAAAATAGGGAAACCTATTAAATAATAACAAGGTCCCAGAAAGCTAATTTCTACATTAAGGCTGGAGGTTTCAGTTTTAAGTTTGCCAAAAAAGAAAATTCTAGATAAATTACTAAAACTGTTATTTGCATCTTTGTATGTATTTATTATTTTATGTAATAAAGCTTATTTTCATTAACAGTTTGTATTAAAACTATGTACAGTCACTTTAATCAAATTCATAACTTTGTGTGCAACAGAACTCTCAATAGATAGAGGTTTAACCTTCATGTAGGAGGCTCAAGTTCAAGAACAGCTTAGAGAACGGGACTGCAGAGTGCTGGAGACTTTCCATCCATGGCACAGTACTGATGCAGTCATCTCTGCAGGAAGGAGGTACAGTTGCTAGGTAGTCTCCATTGCTTTTAAAATACACGCTACAGCTTTGGTTGTGAAAGCTCTCTCCCTTCATTGTTGAAGGTCAGAATTCAGTGGCAGCTTGTGACATTTTTGTCCAGAAATTAAAGAAAACGTTCTGGTTAGGCAATTAGACTTCTTCACAGTATTAAAATGGAAAAGTATACTTCACTACTGGCTCCCAACTAACAGTAATAAAGGAAAAGTAGATGTAGGTATTTGCTTAAAACGGGAAACTTTCAAAATGAGTGAAGATACTGAAATGCACAAACTTAACCGCAGCATAGTACATAGTAAAAGGATTGTCGATGTACCGCATACAATCAAATCTAAATCCTAAGGAAGATGAGGTGATCTAGGATAGCTGATACATATGGAACTACAGATACTTGAAGATAATGGAACATGAAGAGAAAAGAGTTATTTGCATCATAGCTTGGATGCACAGGACTCTGTTGCTTGTAGCTTCCAACATGTGCTTTTCAGCATTTTTTTTTTTATCTGTAATGATCTAATTCTGCATTTGAGCTGGAAGAAAATAGCTGACCAACCATCACTTGCAGGAGCAACCCATCCCCTCCCCCATGTTCATCACTGCTCTAGGTAAGATCTGTAAAGCTCCTGCTAAAATTTCATTCAGAATTGAGTGGGACAAGAACATTTACGCAGGCAGTTCAGCTGAAAGATCTGAAGGGGGCAGCCATCGACTGGTGACTTTTCTATCAGCATGTCTGTTTACACCATCACAAGTGGTATCACAAAGCAACTTTTTTTTGAGTCTCATCTAAGCTAGTTCACTGTTTATACAGGATTTTGATGTCAGTAGAGGCATTGCTCGAGTAGCGATGGAAAGTTATAACTTCTTGGGGGTGCTCTTATGTATCGGAACTCCTAAGAAACAGCATAAGGAATCATACCAGATAGAGAGATCAAGTTGTCTTTTTGTCTCTGTTAACAATAGCGGAAAGTTTATCACCCCTTTTCAACAATGATCGGATTATCATCTTTTGAAGTTGGCAGCAAAACTGATTACCGAACGTAATGAGATGATGGCAGACAGAAGAAGGAATACATGACTGCCTGTAATACTTCAGTTTTACAGTAATAGCGGGTCACTACTCAGTATTTTCATTTGTGCTTAAGAAGCCATACAACATCTGTCAGTTAGAAAACTGCGTTTAGGTATAACGACATACTCTTTTCCCTCACCCAATTAGGACAAGTCAGTATTTCACATGTTTATTTGCCATCTGATTGTTGCATCTCTTTAAAATGCTTTTTCCTTTCTAGGTTTTCCCTTGCTCTTCTTTTCTTTTCTTGCTTCTTCTTCTCTGCTGCTTTCTTCTCTTTAAAAACATCACTGTCTTCACCTTTATAGAAGAGGTCAACCTTTTCCTGCAGGATTTCTCTGGCTATCTTTCGGTTCTGCTCTACTGATCTTGTTTGATGGCACTGAAAAAATACAGTAGGACATTTTTATTGCGACCTTAACTGTTTATTCTTCTGTTTTCCCTTTTACTCTCTCTATTGCACCTGAACAAGGATTGTAAGATCAGATCCTAATTAGAAACTTTTCAAATAATTTTGGGGGCAAATTACATCTGAATTGCCTGCCCATTTTTCCTGAAGTTTGTTATTATTTCTGAAACAGCAGATTAGGGGATGATTTAAGTAACTACAATTACTTGCTTTAAACAAGTTCTTGAAAAGAGCTCATTTCTCTCCTTTTTTCTCCCCTGCCACTACAGTAAAAAGTCCCCCCAAGATTCCTCCCCCAACCAAGAGAACCCACAACCAAGTGCTCCCCAATTTTTTTTGCAGCCAGACAACATATTCTGGAGAGGCTGACTAATAATCAGCTGTTACTGTAACTTGGCAGGCTGACTTTTGCATTAATCTTTAATTCTGTCAGCAAACACAACTGCTTCCGTATTACCTTGGAAAGTGGCTTCAGATTTAACTTAGCTGTGTCTTCCCCTTGTTACAATAAGGAACTAAAGATTAATTTCAAAGGTAAGTTTTAGTGCATGGTACATAGGCAAGAGTAATGCTTAAGAATAATATGCAAAATGACTCTGATCACCTCGTTAAGGAAGACATTGTAAGACCTCACAAGGGGGTAGGAATGCAAAAGCTATCGCTGAAAGGATAAGAAGATACATTATTACTGAAAACTACAAAATAGTAGTGTTTGTTTGCCAAAGCCTAACCCCAAGATCAGCTTAGCCCCAAATTTAAGTAATATTAACCAACGCTGTTTCTTGATGAGGTTCTTTACAACGCCTATCAATAAACTCTTCCTTCCTGACTCTTGCACTGAGAGTATTCTTAACTATAAAAGATGGCTTGGAAGACATAATGCACTTTGTGACTTAATGAAATAAAATATAATTACCTTAACGACAATCCCAGTTGGAATATGCTTCAAGACAACGCAGTTGCTTGTCTTATTAGTGGCTTGACCTCCTGGGCCATCACCTCTTACAAACTGTTCTTTTAATTCTGCCTCATTTAGTGCAAGGAGATTGGAAGAGTTCTTTCCTGCTGCCTGGAATAGGGGCAGCCTGGTCAGGGAAAATTGTTGCTTCCTCAACATCCATGGCCTCCAAGATGCTGTACTTGCTTCCTTCAATAAGAATGTAGAATGAAATAAACTTGAAGCATTCATACAGAATTGAGGAGACAGCTTCCCCTGGAAAACTGAAATAGAAGGAGGAAATGGAGTTTACCATCAGAATCCTTGTTTTAAGATTATCTAGGTGTGATCACACACCTTGTGTGATACTTCAATATTCACATTTTTTCTCAAGGGTATTAAAACTAGCTTCATAAGCATTTCCCTTGAAATATTTACCATTCCAAATGGAATTTCAGTTCTAATTGCAACCTGATTTCTTAAAATAGTCAAGAAAGGGATCTGGAAAACGGTAAATAAATTAAGTCAGTGCTCCTACCAACGTTTGGAAAAAGGCTTTTTGCAAACAGCTGCACACAGTGTAAAACTGAACTTTGGGATTCCATGGTTCCAAGAAAGGATAAAATTGTTCATATTGTTCTTGTAACCTGACCTTTAAAGGTCAATAAGGGTGAGATTTTACTCATTTTAATAATGCGTCAGAATTTTGCTCTACATGCCTTTACTGCTACTGTACTCTACTTGGGCCCAGGTTCTGCCTTGCTGAAAATGGTACCCACAGTTCACCTGTCTATACACGTTTTAACCGCATCAAGGGAGGACAGGTGAGGGAGCAAGAATCCTTATCAGAGGTTTTCTTATACTAACAGCGCTCAGAACTACTGAAAGAAGCCTGCTGGAAGAAGCCAGAAAGTTTACATAGTGCAACTATACGCCGATTGTTTCTCAGCTTCCCGCGCACACTGGCTTACAGTCATGGAAGTCTGCAAATGGAAGGTGGAGAAAAAGAACAAGACTGTAGAACATTTCTGTCCCGATGCTATGGATATCAGAAGTCATATCTGGCAAAACAGAGCTTGAGTAGTTTAAACAAGTCAGATTACCAAGATGGATTTTTACCTGTAAAGACCAGGTATGACTGCTTGGTCAAGACAATTGACTGATGGTGCACAGCAGAACCTTGCCTGGTATGTATATTTGGCAGTTATAGATTGATTCATGATTTCATGTTCTGAGATTCCTTTTTTTAATGCTAGGCTAGCACAGAAAAGGCAACCCTTACCTAAACAGATACCGTAATTTAGACGTGTCTTTTGACCTTGTTCCGTTAAAGTGGTGTTCTCCAATTTTTGAAGTCAGACTATACTGTGTGTTGGATTTAGTGAGTGATCCAATATAGCAAATATGGTCAACTCCATTTCAAATCAGAAGCGTTTTTCTAGGTTGATCCTGTCCACAAGTTTGCCCATCCTTTTCCACTCCCGTAACTTTCTATATAGTCAGTGAAGCAACTTTGGGGGAGGACAAAGATCAGTGAGAAAGCAGACCACCAGTTTCTCCAACTACTGCTTCGTAAGGTGATTTTTTTTTCCAGGTCAAGTTTTAAATAGTAACATAGGCAGAGAAGCATACATTGCATTTTACCACCTCACGGATAAAAAACAATGTCAGGTTCTACTGCTGAGAAAGGGCACTTTTCAATAAATTAGGTAAACAATTAATAGATGGTTTTATGCTTGAAATATTTTATTTGATACAGAAGAAAATACTTCAGCATGTGAACAAGTGGCACTTAGCCATAAATAGCCATACAAGTTAAGCCTAAGTGATGAAAAGAATATAACTTTAAGAAAGCTTTTATTTTAAGTCAGGACAGCCACTTGGTGGCACTAGAAGATAGCAACAACGTTTTGCTGAAAAAAACAGGTAGGAAGAGTTAGCAGAACTAGCTTTGAAGCGTGCCTTTCCTCAACAGCAGGCTTAATGCTATTCAGGCACCGCCCGTTTAAAGTGGCCCTTTTTGTAACCAAGACTGACAAGCGTTTGAGCTGTCTCATCTTAATACATAGGGTAAAAATTCATGTTCTCCGTAAGCCTATTTCTGCTACTTGATACTATAGTTGTAAAACACGATGAGGCCCAGAAGATACCTAGAACAAAGAGGTTTCCTCAAGATTTCGGCACAAAAAGATCTCCGAGAAGCACATGGCTTAGCGCAGAAAAGACCTAAAGACGATCACGCCTTAATTCTAAGAGAGCTTTACTTACGAAGGCTTTAACACGGACTGAGCGAGGCACGTTCGTGTGGATAACATCCCATCTTTAAACGCAGTTACACAGATGACTGCTCGGTCCCACACGCCCCGCGGCGCCCCCGCCCCGCCGGGCTGAATGACAACCT